TCATATCTATTTCAAAAAATTATTAAGTACAACCAACTTTGCACCAATTTGAAAAAAAAAAACTTTCAGGAATAGACTGCAGAAAGAGGGTCAAATAACAAACCCTAAGATTTTCTAAATTCTTGCTGAATTAGGCCTTTGTCACACAAATTAAATACTGATGTTGAAAAATACATCTCCAGAACATCTAACACATAAATCTACATATGGAAAGCACATACAGAGACTTATAGATTACCTCCCGTTTTGAGTTATCCATATTTTTATTTACCCTTCTGCCTACAATGCCTACATAAGAGTGATTAAACTGCTTCCCCAAAAAAGCCTATTTCCCTAAGTTCCCTAAATTTTAACTGCTTTAAATTAATGTATTTTAATGTTGAAGTCAATGATCTGATGTAGCACAGAAAAATAATGAAAATCTACAATTTGATTTCTAGTTTACTTCCAGGCTAAAATTAAACAGATGCACTTCTCCCTATTTCTGACAAATATCATAATAAAACAAATGTAAGGTGACTCTGAAAGGTGCTAAGAAGGCACCCCTCCTGGGAACTCAAGGAGTAACACAGTGATGAGGTCTACGAGTTTTCCTTTTAGTTTCATATATCCCAAACTGCGTACCAGAAAGGCCAACAACCCAGAGATACCAATGGATGGACACACGGACACACACACACACACAAAGTGGCAACCTAGCACTACAGAGAACTTTTAGACAATACAAATGCCATAGAAAACATGGCTCCATTCCCATTTCAGTCATCAAAGACCAAGTACTGTGCCTAAACTTCTACTCCTGCCCAGTTGCAAGAGTGCCTCTTGATACTCCCTGACATGTTATCAAAGCAAACCAAGTGGTAAGACAGATTTCGTACTTAATCCCCACCTTTGCATAAAAAGCCTCTTTCCTACTCACTTCCTGTGCCAGTGGAAGCTTACTGGGAAGCCAGAACTTTGATGGCCGTCCAGAGGTAACAAGGCTTCCCCTGGTCCCATGGTGTCCATGTAGGCACATGGGGAACAGCAACATATTAATGACAGCAATGTTATAATTATGTGACAAGGATTTTAAAGCAGCCATGATGAAAATGCTTCAATAAGAAATTAAGAACCTTCTTGAAACAAACAGAATAGACAGTTTTAGGAACGAAACAAATGATATTAAGAACAAAAATGAAGGTTTTAGAACTGAAAACTATAACCAAACAAAAAACAGAATTGGTTCATCAGTATGATAGAGAAGACAGAGGAAGTAATCAGTAAACCAGAAGATGGAAATTATCCAGTGTGAACAACAAAGCAAAAACAGACAATATAAACAAATTTCCAGAACCTTAGAGACTTGTGAAACTACAACAAAACGTGTTTCATCTGAGATAGTGCCATGATATTAGCTAAACAGTATGTCTGCTTTGAGTTCAAGTTGACCATGAGAATTCCTACACCCAGGTGCTAAAACACTCCAAAATTTAGTTTACTCTGTTACAAACATACCATAAAAAGAAGGACATATGTGGCTGCTGGAGTTGATCAAGTAATAGAGCACCTGCCTAGCAAGCTTGAGGCCCTGAGTTCAAACCCAATACCATCCCCCACCCACACACAAAAAAACGAGGAAGGACAGAGGTCTACTGGGACTGAAGTAAAGTTATCAGAACAAACAACATTTTCTAATCTTTAGTAAAAGCAGTGAGACAATAATAATGATACTGTGGTAGAGTCCCCCAACCCTCCCTTTAAGTAGACATGGCAGAAGCAAAATACCAAGGGCCAGATGGAATGAGGAAATGAAGGCCAAGTGTGCAAAATGTTCCTGAGCATGAAAATCAAGCCATGATCCGAGGAAGAGATAACCAGTCAACAAGGTCCACAGAAAGGAGACAGCCAATTAAAGTAACCCAACTCTAGGTATAAAACCTATACTCACTCATCTAGCTGCCCAGTGCTTCCCCTTTAAGAGCATCCTAATAAAACCTGTGCTACTTCTACTCTCCTGACTTGGGTAAATTCTTTTTACCAACTTGTAGTTCAGGCAAATACCACTTGGAATTTATATTAGTCTTCACTACAAAAAACTCAGAGTGCTATATATCAGGTCTCATATGGTTTTTCAGGTATATTACTACTCCCATTAACAGATGAAAAACTGAATTTGCAAATTCATCAAATAGCTCAGAATAAATCATGACTGGAGACCAAAGAAAACAAAGTTATCTCAGTATTCACTACTGTGCCTTTTAATAAGCACCAGGATTCCAAGTATGGGGAACACAGGTAAGGCTAAAACAGTGTAATTAGTCCTTGGAAGCAAGGTACATGTATTAGTTCATTCAGTTCTCCACTCACCCACAGCAATGGACTCACTACTATTATATGCCAGGCACTGCTTTAGGCACGAAAGAGGGAAGCTCTAATCTCATACAGTTTATACTCTGATAGGAAGGGGCAGAAGATAAACCAAAGTAAAGTAACAGGTGGGGATAAGTGCTCAGAGGGGAAAAAAGCAAAGAAAGAGGTCAAAGAAATTTGAATGTCGAGCGTGTATACCTAAATAAACCTTAGGGACTTATTTATCTAGCATGGTCAAGTGAAGTCTCCATAAGAACATAGGTAGCATTTGACCTATAAGGAAACCAGTTATTAAAAATATTAATTTTCAAAAAGTTAGTATGTTTGTCATATAAGTGTAAATTGAACATATAGCAAAGATTTATTCTTATTTATGAGTTAATGACTCTTTATGTTTACACTGTACAAATCAGATGTTAAGAAGGGTTCAAAGAGCATCTGAAGAGAGGATATCCATATGGGAAGTTTAACAATGCAGTGGTGGCCAGCCATAGGGTATTAAAACATAGCAGGGGGAAACAGGTACTATTGCCTTCCCTCTCTGATCCTTTCCCTAATCTTTAATGGACCAATCCCTTTCACGTGGTATCCTAAATTCTAAAGACAGGCCCTGTCACCCCTCCTCTTCTCCCCAACTCACAGGAATTGACCTGCAGAAAGGCAATGTGTTTGCCTGGAAAGAAAATCCAGGTGCAGGCTCCAGGAGGTCAAGGTGCCAGATCCTGATTGACTTTCCAAGAAGAGGAGTACAGGAAGCAGACTGGAGAGACTCTGACCAGTGTGGGGATTTCCAGCCACTTCCTCACTGCGACCCCTTTGTGTTCCATAAAATCTCTTCTTGCCCGTCCCCCACCCGCAAGATGGAAATCTGAGACAGAGAGTCTCCTCTATTTACCTCAGGGAAGGCCTTGAGTAAAACTATTTCCTTCCACTAATTCTGTCTCCCTTAGATTCCAGTAATGGTATAAAGTTAAAGACAAAACTGGGTAATGTTTTATAAAGCAACAAAGTATATTTTTTATTTTTCTATGGGAAAACAGCCTGTAAAGTAATCATGTAATTTCATTATATCTGAGACCTTTAATCAATAGTAACCAGTGAGACAGATTAAAATACATCTCCTAAATATTTCTGAGGTAATGTCCCCATTTGGGATACTGAAAAGACATACTTTTTACCTTTTTACTTATTTCCTACTTTTGCAATTTTTCTTAAAACAGAACTGTGAACATATCTGAAGGAAGAACATTCCAGGCAGAGAGAATGTGAGTGGGAAAAAAAAAAAAAAACACAAGGCAAATTAAGAGGGCTAGCGAATGTTGAGCAGGGTCTTGCTTTATGCATCATGGTCAAAGAAAACCTTCCTATAATCAAGGAATCTCCCCACACACACAGACTCACTAATTCACCTGGACTTTTGAAGTATGATATGAATAGGTAGCTGGGGATGAGCTTAAGATGCCTGGGAAACTAGAAAATTTACACTGGAATGGGAAGAGGAAATGAGATTGGGATTTGGTTTGATTTACATTTTTTCTACTTGGTAAAATAAAAACTTATTAGAGAAAAAAGAAAGTATGGAAGCTAGAAGGTTACTTAAGCAGACTACCTAATGACTAAACAAATAACTATATAGTTTACCATATGTAAAAGTGTTATAGAGAAAAAAAAACAAAACATAGTAAGCATGGTGGAGGGGATGTCAGCATTATTTGGAAAGGTCTATCTGAGAAGAAGGTATTTGAAGGAAAAGATATGGAAATGAAGACCAAGTATGTATCTGAGGGAAGGGTATTCCAAACACTGGGATAAAGGAAAATGACTAGAAGAAAGAGGCAGAGAGAAAGAATGTAAGAGAATCCACAACTCTGAAATCATCTTAAGGATCTGGCTCCTTAGTATGGGTGAGATGAGACGCCACTGAAGGTTACAGAGCAGGGAAATGGCATGATGAGCTTTAAGTATTAAACACACCACAGTTGCCACAATGTTGGGAATAGCCTAAGTGAGTAATGGCAAAGCAAAAAGATTAATTATAAGGTACTTCTTATTTATTCAAAGAGAGAAATAATGATAGCATAGAATTGCAGTAACCATGATGATACCAGGTAGAAATTTGGATAATGCAAAGGTTGAGTCAACAACCTTTGCTAAAGGAACAGACATGAAGTAAATACACACACAAAAAAAGGAATGAAAGTTTGATCTTTAGCAATTAGAAAGATGGGGTTGCCATTCACAGCAATAGGAAAGATTGCAGAAGAAACAATTCTATTAAGGAAATTCAGAAAAGAGAAGACAATGACTACAATTTACTTTAAAAGGTTAATTACCTCCTTTAAAGGAATCTAAACTCTTCATTTATAATTATACTAAAAAAAATTACAGTACTCAATTTCCCAATTTTACACATAATTTTTCATTAAATTGTCTGAACCTCAAACTACTAATCTCAGAGCTTCTCACAGGTTCATACTTTCCAATGGCTCTCTTCAATAATTTTACTCATATTTGTCAGTGTTTTACCATTTATTTAAACAAGTATCAGATTATACATTCATAAAATATTTATTGAGCACTTTTTGAAATTACAGTGCATGATTCATCAAAAGGTATAAATTTAAAAATTTTAATTCATAGGACTTTACCTGAAGTTCTTTGTATCTATCTTGAAAAGAAATAGCCTCTTGCTCCTTTTCTTTTAGGAAACCTTTTTCTAAGATACTATGTTTTTCCATCAATGATTCCACATCCTAAAAAAAAAATACAAACACACATTTTGTAACATTTTAAGGTATAAAGTAGTTTTTCAGTAAACAGAAAATATCTGTCAGGGAAAGAACCCATTGGAAGTATAGCTTAAATTGTAACAATATTCTAAATTATGCACTTCACTCTAATGTCTAGATAAATATAAAATATAACACTAAATTACTCTAATAAATGAACAAAAAGCATCATAACTAGGTGCAATGAATAAAGTTAATTTCTTTACATACTTTCTGCATGTTTGCTAAGGTCTTTAAATATATACACACACACTGTGTGTGTAGGGAAGAGACTGATAACATAAATGAGTAATTTACTAATATTGCTTTATATCTAAATGCTTTTGTCAAATATCACACAATGCCTGACTTCCCATATACAGAAGTTAATATTTTAAAACTTCAAATCTGCATAAGAAATACAATACTTTCTGTTTTCAAAGTAAATACAAATAAACCAGAAAGGAAATAGTTAGTTAGAGGAAAAATAATTATTAAAAGCTGCTCCTATCTTCAAAATTTCTTGGTATCTGCAGGGGATTGGTGTCAGAATCCCCTGCTTATATCAAAATTCAAGGATGCTCAAGTCTCATATAAAATGGTGCAGTATTTGCATATAACCTATGCACATCTTTAAATCATCTCCAGCTCACTTGTAATACCTAACACAATGTAAATGCTATGTAAATACTTGTTGTATTATATTACTTATATACACACAAGAAGAAAAAAAATCTATACTTGTTTGAGTTGCATGAATTTTTTTTCTGAATATTTTTGATCAGAGATTGGTTGGCACCAGAGATACAGAACCCACAGATGTGGAACCCACAGATATAGAGGGCTGACTGTATTTAAGACTAGAGATTTTTTTATCAAAGGTTTTCATGACATGATTGACTTCAACATAGGGAAAACAATGTCTTCTTCCTCTGATGAATTTTTAATCAAATTGGATTATATCAAATTTCAAATATATATAACTCACATTTTTTTAGGCAAATGTAAATATACCTTTTTAATTCTCTGTTTTTCTTCTTCAGACACTTTGAGTTTAATCTCCAGACTTGAAATTTTTTGCTGAAGTTCTATGTTTGACACATTGGCTCCCAGATCATCAGAATCATCCACAAGAACAATTGTTCCATTACTTGTCTCATTGGTTAAACCCAATGGAAAAAGAGGGATGTCCAGATGAGTGTGCGTTGATTGCTGAATCTAAGCAACATTAATCAACACACACATGGAAGAGAGAGAGAGAAGAGTTTACATTTACCTAATTATGAAAATACCCAAAGTACATCATAAAATCATACTTAGAAATTAAATGATAGCAACAGTTATGAAACTATTTCCTCCTTTAACTCAATAGACCACTTCAAACTGTTAAAACAACCTGCTCTATGAAGTAAGAAAATTACTTCTCAATTTGAACATGTCTATTATTTTATTAGTATAATTAAGTATTGACACATCTGATACTCAATAGTTCTTAAATTTATACACAGCCTAGAATTTGTTTACATTTTAAATTGTAAGTCATAATTTAGCATTCAACAGTGACTGTAATTGATCATCACTTTCTAGAAGAATTAACAAGTTACTTAAAATTTTGTATTACAGTTCAGAAATTAACTTTGGAAACCTAACTCCAGCACGTCATACAGGGCCTAGCCTAGTTCAGAAACAAGTCTGAATGAACAGTTATTTACCCCAAAATTGAAATAGACGTTGCAGTACCTATAACACTGCTCGACATGGACAGCAGTGTGATTAAAGGTGGATTAAATGTCACTCTCACCATCCGGCTACTTATGCATGGAAAGGAAGTTGGCAGTATCATTGGGAAGAAAGGAGAATCAGTTAAGAAGATGCGAGAGGAGAGTGGTGCACGTATCAACATCTCAGAAGGGACTTGCCCTGAGAGAATTATCACTTTGACTGGATCCACTAATACCATCTTTAAAGACTTTGCTATGATCATTGACAAACTGGAAGAGGGTATCAGCAGCTCTCTGACCAATAGCACGCTGCCAGTAGACCCCCAGTCACCCTAAGGCTGGTGGTCCCTGGTAGTCAGTGTGGCTTTCTCATTGGAAAAGGTGATCATCTTTGCAGGTGGTTAGGTCTATACCATTCAAGACAGTATGCCATTCCACAGCCAGATTTGACCAAGTTGCACAAGTTGGCAGTGCAACAGTCTCATTTTCCCATGATGCATAGCAACACCAGATTCAGTGGCACTGAATCCAGCTCTTCAGAGGTGAAAGGCTATGGGCAGGTTTGGATGCATCTCCTCAGACTACTTCTCATGAACTCACCATTCCAAATGATTTGATTGACTGCATAATTGGGCGTCAAGGCACTAAAATCAATGAGATCCATCAGATGTCTGGGGCGCAAATCAAAATTGCAAACCCAGTGGAAGGATCTACTTACAGGCAGGTTACCATCACTGGATCTGCTGCCAGCATTAGTCTAGCTCAATATCTAATCAATGTCAGGCTTTCCTCAGAGACAGGTGGCATGGGGAGCAGCTAGAACAATGCAGATTCATCCATTAATCCCTTTCTGCTGTACACCACCACCACCCATGATCCATCTGTATAGTTTCTGAACAGTCAGCAATTCCAGGTTTTAAATAGTTTGCAAATTTTCAGTTTCTACACACCTTATCATCCACTCGTGATTTTTTTTAATTAAATCATTTTAATTCCTTTCTCTGTTCAGCTGTTAATGCTGAGATCCATATTTAGTTTTATAAGCTTCTCCTCCTCTCTTCATTTTTTTGGGTTTTTTTTTTTTTTGCTTTGTTTTTTTATCTCATGAATTTTTCTGTTTGTCATGGAAAATGTAAGAGTGGAATATTAATACATTTCAGTTTAGTTCTGTAATGTCGGGAATTTTTCAAAAAAAATTAAAAGATGGACTGGAGCTTTTTCTTTGTGAACAGAAACTGGATGCCACAGTGAAAAAAATAAGAGAGAGAATGATTTATTTTACATTTTGAAGTTTAAGATTTGAAATGCAAATTTAAGTTAATTTTAATAAATGAGAGCCTCAAACCATATATTGATAACTAAAGCTTCTTATATACTTTGCAATTGCGCCACAAAAAATATTTTCCAGTTTTTTTTAATTCTCAGTATGAGATTCAAAATTAGAATATTTATTGCAAGAAGCATTTCTTTTAGGAAAATAAGTTCAAAACAAATCATAAAAGCATCAATCAAATCAGTATGCACGTTTCATTGTGCAGACTTCCTCCCATAAGTGTCCTGTCCTTACCTGTGCTTTGGGAACAGTTTGACTCACAATGCTGTTGTCTGCATGTGTATTCTCTGGTGATGAAATGATGACATCAGAAGAGAGGCAGCCAACTGAAGGAGATGAGTGCTCATGGTCCAGAACAATCTCAGGAGAAGCCGGTGCAAGATGGACTCCAGATACTAAAGAGCAACACAAATGACAGAATCACTAAAGGGTAAAGGAAAGCACAAAAGAAGACAGAGGAATAGGAAAAGGGGAGAGGAGAAGTTAAGTAATGAGACTGAGAATAAGGGTTTCATGACTATTCCTCAGGGACCAGTATCTGAAATCTACAACTAATGTTTCTAAATTTAACATGACATTTCCATGTGTGACCCAGGAAAACAAAATAGTTGTACCATGTTTTAGTGATTATATACTAATACATTGTCACACGACATGTGTTTCCAACTCAGAGAAAATATTCATACGTATATATTCATTCAGTTCAGAAAAAGTTGATTTAATTAAAAGAAAAGGAAAAGTACTAAAGTGCCTAATAGTGCCAGGCACAGGCACTAGGCAGGCACTAAGGACACAGCCATGAGCAAAACAGATGCACACCTCTGCAATGACCCTATGACTCAGAAGGGAAATTAACCAATTAAGCATTCATTACCATAAAATGAGTTAGAAGCAGCAAAACTGCTGTGAAACAATTAATCCAACTGTCTTCTGTATTAAATCCCTCTTTTTGTAACAAAAGATTGTTCATGTTAAAGTCAATTTTTGTTTTCTTCACTGTTTCTACAGAAAATAATTATAAAATTTAATTTTTCAGTTTGTTTCACAACAAAACATCATATAAATAAAAAATTCATGAAAGCAAAGTCAACTGCCAAGTATAAAAAAAATACAAAAATATAGATTAGGGCAAAATCAACAGGTATTTATATTATTTTATTTTAAATGTTTCTTCTAAAAATTCAAGAAAATTAGTAAACTATATTTTAAAATTTAAGAAGAGGAATTTTTAGGAGTAACTCATTTACATATTTTCACGTTCCAAACTATAAAGACCTTTATTCCACATTGGCATCAGTGACAACATCAGTGAAGTTCTACCATAAATTCTGGAAGGCAGCTCACAATGGAGATTGCATTTTTCCCTGAAGAAAGACATTTACAAGGCAATTAAGTATTAATAATCTAAAACTATATTGACTTCTGTTTGTATTTTATTCTATCATTTAATGAATTTATACACAGCTTTATTATGTAACAATATTATAATTCTAAGGTACTGTATGGCATAATGGATAATTAAGAAATTCTATCCTTGTGAACAGATATTTCAATTTTTTAACTCAAATACAGAAAACTAGAATTTTAAATCATGTTTTTACTTGGCATATATTTTCAAAAATTATTTTTTCTAACTTCACTATTATATATGATGAGAGAAAATTCTTTAACATTCAAAATATTCCAACTTTTAATTCTGAATTATTACAAAACAGTACTAATGAACTTTTAGAGGTATGAAAAATAGTACAGTACAGTAAGGTGGAATACATTCTGTAATTAAGAGCATAGATTCTTGAACCATACTGCCATACCATGTGTATTATTTCTTCATCTATAAAAAGGGCATAGAGTTGCCAATGAAGGTTTAAATACACTAGTAAAGCATTTAACACAGGTTTGCTATTATTTTAACTAGTATTTTAAAGATTATTAAAATTTATTGGATAAGATTGTTTACTTAAGATAATAAAGGATATTAGGCTATGATCCTTGATTCAAGAAACTCTTAACAGCATCATTCTAGCACCTGAATATTTTAATACTTCATAATGTCATTCATACTTATAGCCATAATTTAAAAAAAAAAAGAAGTCATAGTGCCCTCAATAGAATTCTCATTCTATAACATGAATTGTTTACATGTATCACATTAAGGATATAAGGAAGGAAAGTGGGTAGAATACATTAAGAATAAAGGGAGAAAGGGGGTAAAGCAGGGTAAAGGGGGTAAGGAGGAGAAAAAAAGGGGATAGTTGAGGAAAGAGGAAGGAATGAAGAAGGAACTCTAACCCTCAGACTAACTACATTTATCCTATATCTTTTCCTTCCTAACCAAAGTTCTTCAAGAGTTTCTAATCCTGTCTCCATTTTCTTCCTCAGTCTTATCCTCACCATTCCATTGGACCTGTTAAGATGTGGTATGTCCTTTCACTCATTAAATCAAATGAACACTTCTGCCCTTATCTTTCTTTAGCTCTCCAAGTGTACATGAATGGCCCTCCACTTTTCTTCAAACTCCTCCCTTGATGCCTGTGACACCATGATCTTGTAGATTTCCTCGAACATTTTTGACTACTTTGTCTTATTTCCTTTCTAATCTCTTTATCCATTGAACCTTAGCTTCTTTTCTTTCCCTACTCCTTTCCTACTCACTATGTTTAGAATTCAAAGTTACCACTTTCAAAACTCATTATTTAATTACCACATATAAGCTAATGACAATCAATTTACATCTCTAATCACTATAATGGCCTCCAGATTCACATACTCACCTTATTACCACAGAGATCCATTTGGATGTCCAACAGGTACATTAAACTTGATTATCATTTTACACAAACCAGTTTTGCCTCATGTTTTACTTCTCAGTTAATAGTACCTCAATGAACACTACTTGCCCAAGTCAGAAATGGTATCACTCTAAGTGCTAACCTCACTCCAGTAACACTGTACTGTTAACATTCCCTAATTATGCCATATTGTCCAATGCCTCTATTACCTCATAATATTATTGCCTAAGTAAAAGTCATATGCCTTTAAATCAGAAATAGATTCAAATTTGAACATAACTATTTACCAACAGGTAAGGCTATAATTTGCAGCCTTAGGCAAATTACATAAATTCCTCTAAGCCATGTAGTTTCATCTTCTGAAAATGGGGAAATAATATGCATCTCAAAATGATTTATATAACTTACATAAGATAGTGTAGATAAATGACTTATCTCAGTGCAGGTACATGGTAAGTACATACAACTGTAAATGAAAGTGATCACTGACGTTATTTGGCAACATTCAAAACCAGCTTTTCCAGAACCTTTCACTACCTGGTTACCCACCCAATCAGAATATAATTCTGATTTCTAATGGTCTGTAAAAAGTGTTACAGAATTTCTAAGAAACTGACCCAGGTTACTTTGACTATTGCCATCAGTCAAATATTGATAAATATTGATAAGAAGACAAATAACAGGAAGAAGGGAAAGGAGGAGGAGAAAAAAGAATAATGAGAAAACAGACTTGGCAAAAATGTGAACCTTTGAAGAAAATGGATGGAGGATAAATGGGAAGAATTTGTTAATTTCTTATAATTTTATTTTGATGTTTGACAGAAAGCCGCATGGAAGGGGCTTTTGAAAAAGGAGGTGGGGGCAAAATAAATAATCCTATAAAAATAAACTATAAAAAATAAGGAAAATACTCTGAAGAGTTAGGAGAAATGCCTTTCTCAGAAAAAGTCTAGAAAATTCCACTAGCAAATTTAGGATTGTGAGCAAAAATAATCTAAATATTAAGAAGTCATCAGTGTGGCTGATGTGTATGCTGTGAATAAATAGTTGTGAGCAGGAGAAGGAGAAATGGGAAGTGTTTAGTATGCTTTTCCAATAATTCAATCAAGAGATGGTGCTGACTCAACCAAGGACAGTAGAGCAAAGCTTAGAAGTGGCAAAACATTGTATGAATTTTGAAAGGCTGGATAAAAAAATTTCCTGATGGATTGTGTGCAGGATGAAAAACAAAATAATCAAGAATGACTCATGGCCAAAGATGCAGCTCAATGGTATGGTGCTTGCCTCACAAGCACAAGGCCTTGGGTCCAATCTGCAGTATCAAAAAAAAAAATTAGAATGACTCCAATATTTTGCTTAAGTAAATGGAGGAAAAAGTGGCCAATAACTAATACAGGAAAGGTGCTAATGGAAAAAGAGAGGGACAAAAAATGGAAAGTTCAAATGTGGATTTTGCAATTTTACTTCCAACTAGATATTTTGGACTCTTAAAATAGCCTAGACCATAGGTGCATTAGATTCACTTAGATTCACAGCGTGCAGGCAGTGTCACAAGAAGAGTTTCAGCAATCATGGGTCACATTCTAAAGGGAGAACGTGTACAGGAGGAATAGGGAAAGAGAAGGAAACCTAAAACTTATGTTTGATGTACCCACTGCAGAGGAGCTAACAAAGTATTCTTAAACTGACAGAAGCCATTATGGGAAGGTGACCAGGAAGTAGTGAAGAGGTCTGGTAAAGATGAACCAATTTGGGTTGTAATACACATTTGCATGGAAGCAATGCTAGGATTCTCTCTGTATAGCTTTCTTTATCTCAAGCTAGAAAACACTATATCTTTCTTATTATCCCCTATGTTTTCTCTTTAACAAAATTGGAGAAGAGAGCAGAACAGGTTCTTCCTGGAAGCAAGGGGGGTAGGGGTAGAGGGGGGTAGGGGACGGGGAAATGGTGGCCCAAATAATGTATATGCATATGAATAAATGAATAAACAATAAAAAAATCAAACAAAAAAATGAAAATGAATGAAACTAGAGGTCATCATGTTAAGCAAAATAAGCCAGACTCAAAGATACTATCACATGTTTTCTCAATATGCAGAATTTAGACTTTTTAAAAAAATGACATGAACATAAGAGGGACTATTTTAGGTGGGGAACCAGCAGGAGGGCAAAAGGAGAGCATGGTGGAGGTTAAATACATTCAGAGTACTTCATATGCATGTATGAAAATAGAATAATGAAACATATTAAAATTTTAAAAAAGGGGGGGACGACATGAGTGATAGAGGCAGTAAATGTGATGAAAGCACATTATATGCATGTTTGGACCTATCACAATGAAACCCATTTCTATAAATAATATACACTAATAAAAAATCCTGCCAAAGGGGGGGAAAAGGCTTCTGACATCCTTTTAAACATATTCTTTTAATTAATACATCCATTAAGTCATTTACAACTCTTTTCTATACATGCTGTACAGGCAAAGGAAACAGGATAAATATTTCAAGCAGGTTAACCCACTGCTGGACTGCTGGCATTATTCAGGATTCTATGAGAGAAGTCAAACAAAAGTACATTCTATCAGTTGCAAAGGTCAGCAGTTTCTCAAAACTGTATTAACAGAAAAAAGATCAAACTGCTTCCTTTAATGACAACTTGAGCACTACACTGACTAAAATCTGCTACCAATGCCAAAAATAAGGAGAAATAATATGATACAGAAAAATGTATATTTGCATAGACACACAGGCATACACACATGTACAAAAGAAAATATGAATACCATGATGGCCTTTTGTTGTGTCAACTGAGACAAGTTATAGTAACCAGTTTTCATCGCAACACTAACCTAGATATTCCTTTGAAGGTTTTTTGTATGTGATCAAAGTTTATAATAAGTCGACTTGAAGTAAGGGGGGTTATCGTAGATGAGTGATAGGCCTGATTCAATCATCTGGCAAGCCTTAAATGCAGAGGCGAGGCTTCTGTGATGAAGGAGAAACTGCAGTTTCCACCTGTGTCTCAAGACTTCAAATCAACCAGCTCGCTGGACGACTGTGGAATTCAGACTTACCTAACCAGGACCCATAATCACGTAAGCAAATAATGTCTAATAAATCTCTTAACATATCCATCCTACTGGTTCTGTGTGTCTGGTTAAACAAGTACTAATATAAATACTATGTCCACACATGCATAATAAGCAAATCTTTCCCAAAATTGCTTAAGGGGTAAGAACTATTTCATTTAGCTTGATCAAGTACATTATTGTCAACAACATATCAATAGTTTAGACACTTTCTAGTAAAGAATGAAGGTACATGGATGAAAAAATTGACCATACAAACCTGTAATTTAAATATAAAGCAATATAGAAGAAGATATCTTAAAGGTTTTTTTTTCTTTTGGGGGGTGTATAGTGCTACTGGGGCTTGAATTCTACTTCTTGAGCTATGTCTCTAAGCCTTTTTGCTTTTGTTATTTGTTGAAAAGGGTCTTGCATTTTTCTCATGGGACAGCCTGGGACCTCTACCCTCTCCAGCTTGTTTGTTGAGACGAGGGTCTTGA